ATTTAATTTTCTGAATATTGCTTAATCTTAATTTTTGTTCTAAGATTTACACTTTATCTTTGACTTACAATTTATTTAAAGGACATCGTATGATATCCTCTCCTAGTATTAGAAACTTTAAAAAGTATATTTCCATTTTCTGTTGACTTTATCTTACTTCTTCCCTGTCTTTTATACACACATACACACACATATAGATGAAAAAAATGTGTATAACCCAACATAAGATTGGTACTGTTTCATAGAAATCTGCAATGACCTTTAAATAAGGGTTCATCTAATGTATTTTATATAGTCCTGCATAACTATCCCATTGAGAGCTTTTTATTGTTCATCCAGGAGAATACTGCAACTTCTCTTGCCTTTTGAATTAAGCTCTTTGTTATTTCCTATATGCTACTTCTGGAGGTATTAAAATATTTCAAGTTTGTATATCTAGAAAATCTTACTTTTAGTTTTCGAAGGTATGTTAGCTAAGTATAAAATTCAAAGAGGACAGGTCTTTTCTTTTTTAAAGAATTATTTATTTATTTATTTATTCATTCATTTTGTGTGTGTGGCCAGCTCAGCCCACCAGGGGGCGGGGCTGTCTGGCATGTGGTGCTGGGGGATTGAACCATGGTCCCTGTGCTTTGCTAAGCTTGTTCTAAGTAGGTGCTTTAGACCACTGAGCCATCTCACTAGCCCCAGGACAGGTCTTTTCTTCAGTCCTTTAATTAGTCTAGTTTCTTATACACTTGGTCGTTTTTTTTCTTTCTGCTGAGCTACATCCCCAGCCCCGTTTTTTTCTTTCTAATGTAGAATAAGATGCTATTTAATTTTGTTCTTCCATAGCTAATATTTTTTATGTATATGGTTTAATGATTTTTTTCTTTACAGTAAGTTTGGACAATTTCATTTTTGTGTATCTTGGTAGGATTTTATTTAAATTTCTTGTGCTAAAGGTTCATTTTTCTTCGAAATGCGGTATTATAAGTTGAACTAAATTCAGAAATCTTAAATCTTTAAAAAAAAAAGAAAAAAAAGAAATCTTAAATCTTTAAATATTTATTACCTACTCCTTTCTACTTTGAGAATTCTAATTATATGAATATAAGTTTCTTGGTTTTGACACAGTGAACTATTATGATGGATCTGTAAATTTTTTCTTCATTTTTATTTTGGACAATTTTTATTGCTATATTCATTTATGTTTGTAAATAATTTATTTTCAATTTGCAATCTATTAAGAAATAAATTTTAAAAATAAAGTGGTGTCACAATGACATAAACATAGTCTAAACTCCTTTTGGAGATTATATTAATTGAAATAGTATGTATAACTATTTAGCACTGGAACAAAATGAACCCAATCAATGATAGTTGTTCGTGTTTTACTGTAGGAGAAAACCACCCTCTGTATAACAAGGTCTTGATTTCCTCTGTGATTACCCTCTAGAAAAAGTAATGTTAATAACTGATAAGTTATTATTTAAAAGGGTAAGGTTAGTTATACCTCTTAATACTTCTATTTCTCTTTATTGATGTGTTATAATGTACCAGTAATACAGGTAAATTTAACTCCTTACCCAACCTGTTTTTATATTCACCATCCTTGATAAAATACATCACAGCCATGTCTATCAAATATTTACCACCTGTTTCTACCCAACATAGTTAAAACAATAAATAATAGGATGTAACTAATAAAAGGAGTACTCACAAATTGTCTTACTTTTTCCCTGCGAAGACATAATATCCAACACTTACAACTTGAAGGAGGAGAGGTTTATTTTGGCTCATATTTTTAGCTTATAGTTGGTGAGCTCCAGTGCAGGAAAGCATAGTGGAAGGACCAGAGTGGAGGAGACCTGCTCATGGCCTGGTGACCGGGAAGCGGAGAGAGCTCAAGGGTGGAGCCAGGAAGGGAGATAAACCTTTCCAGGCCATGCCCCCAACAACCTCTGTCTTCATACCAAACCCCATATCTCAATGGCAAGACAGCCCAAATCCAGCCACCACCCAAAGCACCACCCTGATCCCACGAGACTCTGGGGGGGCATCTAGATATAAATCATAGCGCGAGTGTCTTAGATTGTTAGGTTTTTACTTGGTTTCTTATAGTCGGCAATCAACAAATATTTACTCTGTGATTTGGTATATTCATGTGCATAACAATTTATTTAGCTTATATTATCAAAATACAAAGTTTTAATTTTGCTTATACCCTTAGTTTTTTTACATAATAAAAATGTCAAAAATGTACATTAAAAAATAAATATATGGAAATGCAGAGAGAAGGAACATGGCTTGTTTTACTCAAGAGTAGAATATTTGAAACATTATTTGCTTTTGGCTTGAAAACATAAATCAGTCAGGCGAAGCACAGAGATAAAGCTACTGTACAAAGCTAAACCAGTGTCTACAAGACAGGATAGGCTTGAATGAGTTATTTGCCCCAGTTTTTTTTTTTTTTCAGAACCAGGGATTGAACTCAGGCCCTTATGCTTGCCAGGGAAGCTCTTATTCCACTGAGCCATCTCCCCGGCCCTTGCCCCAGTTTTAATAAAGAGCTACAACAATATTTCCTTGAGTGGAATTAGGGAGCACATATGTAAAATCAGGGAATTACTAATATTTATAATATCCACCAGATGAAAAACATTTTGGATATTCACTATATCAGTATGTATGAGAGTCGTTAGAATTTATGTCCTGAAGAATATAACTTTGAAGGACATGATCCTGAAATCAGCTACAAAGGATACATGACAGATGTATACAAATATAGGTAACAAAAAATGCCCACACATATTGGCAATATGAAAGCTTTTGTTTACTCATTTGTCAGATTTCCTTCATCTTTTATTCAGGATATTTGTCTATAGTACTGAAATTTTATATATGTTATTTGATGCTTAGTACTGAATTATGCTACCTATGCTCTGCTTGTTTTTGTCTATAAAAGAATCCTAAGTAGCATATAAACAGAAGAATGTAGTCATTCTTGACTTGATTTCTTCTTTTTCAAAGGAATCATTACAGCTAAATGGCTTGCAATAACCCAACCTTCTGTTTAAGCTCTGTCATAATCAACAAATCTAGCAGAAACTTATTTGAATTTCTAGAGAAACAGGTTGAAGTCTGGTGGGTCTCTGATTATTCTTACACACCAACAATGAGTAGCCTTTAGACTTGTCTATAGAAGCCTGTAGACTTGTGTATAGTAGCACTGGCTCCCTCCTGGGTGTCCAGCTGCTGGTCTGCTTGGTGTATTTTGGACTTGGCAGATTCCATAACCATGTCAGTCAGTTCCTTCAAATTTCTGTCTCTATCATGTCTCTGAATTGACCACACACACACACACACACACACACACACACACACACACACACACACATTTATCTATACACAGATATTGGTTCTGTTTCTTTGGAGAATTCTGAGTGAAGTAGAACAGGTTGTGGTGGTTTTAGTCCTTAACAGTATGGAAGAAGAAATTACTTACATGCATAATATATAGATATTATTTGTAGCCTATGGGTCCTCAGTAATACAGAAAAATACATCTTGCACTCACTTGCGTTGGTTTGCACTAGACATCCACTAGTTAGGTGATCACTTATTTCTCCTAAAACCAGTGACATTAGCGGAAGGCAAGCTCCATTTATCAGTGAGGCCAGAATTCCCAGGATCATGAGTGTGATGTCCAGTCCATCCGCAAAGCGAAACTGAGGGGACAAAAGCATAGTAGTGTTACTGCGATAAGACAGAGAAAAGAAACATCAGCCTACAGTTTCATGCCATCTAGTACATGGTACTTTACAAATTTTTCTTTTGTATTTTTTTGTACTTTACAAGTAGAGATTAAATAAATTATAAAGCCACCAACATGAAGAAGAAACACTCTGTCTTTATTTACAATCAATTTTGAAAAAGGTTTTGAAAAATATGGCAGCTATATCATATAAATTGCAGATCATGACCTAAGTCAGGTCAGACATCTGACACAAATCAGAAACTTCTGATAATGTGAAGGATTTCAATGACATTTTCCTGGGATATAGAAAGTTGATGGGCAAATCTTCGATTCCCTTGGCTTATTTCCATCATAACATTACCACTGCAAATGTAATAAACAGTAATCAACTAGTAAGAATGTAATGGATTCTATTTTTAATAAAGTGCCTCAGATTTATTCTACCCTGGACAATGTCTACCCCCACATAAAGATATATAATATTTTTCAGGGCTATTTGGAATAAGAAAGAAATACCTGAACAGCAAAAGCGCTGGATACTTTATATTTTATTCTGTATCAAATCCCTATAACATCATTCCAAAGCCAAATCATAAACCAAACTTGGAAACATGGATTATTTATCTTACTGAGAGGACTCAAGATTGAATAGAAAAAGCTGGTTATTGAAGTGTAAGTTGAGTTGAACATCAAGAGGCAGTTTGTATATTTTGTGAGTGCATACTGAAAAATTTTCATGTTTTCCACCCAGTTGTGCAACAGGCAATTAATATTATGGAGTTACTTCTGGAGCATTCTGCTTAGCACTACGGATAAGAAAGTGTCCGTGCTCCTGCCTTTCCCAGCATAGCTTGTTATTTTCTTGGTAATGTTTGCTGTGTTCTGCTACTTCCCAAGGATTTTTTTTTTCTTTCTTTCTTTCTTTTTTTTTTTTGCCGAACCGGGGATTGAACTCAGGCCCTTGCACTTGCCAGGGAAGAGCTTATTCCACTGAGCCATCTCCCCCACCCAGGATTTTTTTTCAATATAGCTTTTAGAAAAATATATGGGCCTCATGTATATTTTGAACAAAATCGTCAGGTACAGATAGAACATAAGAGTTGGTGAAGGGAACATCTGTGAATACACGCACAAAAATGTTCCTTAAACGTCATTCCAAAGAATGACAACATATTTCCTTATAAATGGCTTTACAAAATACTTCATCATTTTTTACTTAAATACAATTTGTAAGACTTTCAAGAGAAGCACAACACTTACCTTGTTGTGTAGAATTACTGAAATATAAACACGGTTAAAGTTGCTATTCTCCATTGCGGAGACATAACTTTTTGGTTACACTTATGTAGCACACACACACACACACACACACACACAGACACCAACACATACACACAAACACACACACTTTTTCTTGTTGAAAAAATTAAGCTATGTATATATTGTGTTGCTTTATCCCCAAATTCCCTCCCAGGTTTTTACTATTTTTTTTTATTGGAAATGATACTTCAATGAGCTAATGTCCCTCAAACAATGTATAAAAACTACCGATCATTCTGTGCTGTACTGACTGGCTCCTAAACATTTCTGGCACACACACATTCTACTTGATCTCACTTACTATCTCAATAGGTCCAACAGCTCGCTTTCTGCCTTCAGGCAATTGTCTTTGTAGTGTCCTGGAAAATAAATATCAAACGTGGCAAAGTTACAATGGGAATATGACTTACAAAATTTTCCAATTTTGCTGAAATGCCCCAAATTGCCACTAATAGCAAATTTCTTCAAAACAAATGTAATCAAAGCACAAAGATAGTTACAAAAATTATTGTGGAAGAATGAGGTTACTGGCCATATCTAAGTCTGTTAAGGTAGCAAGTGAAGACACGTATCTGGAGCGCAATTTTTTTTTTAATTTTTTCATTTTATTTTATTTTATTTAGAAACAAATATCATTGAGACAGTTTCAAAGATGATTAATAGGACAGTTTCAATAATTAATACCTTGTACATTGTTGAAACCAACATCTTTTTCTTTCTTTTTTTTTTTTTTTTTGGTAGAACCGGGAATTGAACTCAAGGCCCTTGCGCTCACCAGAGAGGCACTTATTCCACTAAGCCATCTCCCCAGCCCCAATACCTTGTACATTGTTATCTTAGTGGTTATCCACAGTACAAGATGCAGACAGGATAGCCTCTCTAAGCACTATTATTACAAATCTTTGTTCTCATTGAATTAAGCGAAAGTAGCCATATATCTATCCTCACTATTCTGTATATACAGATACAAAATGGTCCTTCCTTTGTATCCCCTCTTTTTGTTTAGTCATGTCAGAGATGGGTATTCTATTGGCATCTAAATACTATAGGTGCTTGGATTCAGCAAAACAATCCAACACAGTCCAGCAGTGGAAGTTGTTGACGAGCCTTTTACAGCTCAGGATATTAATATGGCTTTACTTTATATACCTTGTTTTTTATACTTTTCTGCTGGATGGTTAAGACCAAAATAAAACAAGACCTATATAGCAAGAAATGTAACTTTTGTATCTGATAAGGTCAGTCACAAATTTTAAAACTTAGGATAATATATGCACAGTACAGATGCACTTAGCCATTTTACAGTGAGACAGGGCACAATGCGTTCATGCTGCTGCTCTCCTGGCACCGCAGAACTCTTCATCTTTCCAAACTGAACTCCCACATATTAAACACCTCCCCCTCCACTGTCCCCTTCCCTGAGCTCTGGACAACACCATTCTGTCCGTCTTTGTGAATCTGGGTACTCTACATACTGCACGACAGTAGACTCATATGATATATTTCCTTAAGGGAATGGCTTAATGTCTTCAAGGGCCATCCTTAAATTATTTACTTACTATTTCTTCTAGTTTCTTTTATGTTGTAATGTGCTAGATTCTCTCTTTTCTTTTTCTTTTCAAATGTATTTGGTTGTTACAGGGTTGCACACAGCTTGGACTCATAGTGATCCTCCTGCTTTCAGCCTCCCCA